GGCTATTCAACAGCAATTAGAAAACCTTTTCACTTCCCCTTGGAAAACTCATCTGCAATTGCAGCAGACCAATTATTTAAATTAAAAGTCTAACCTTGAGCATAGATGAGAGTAAGCACTTGATTCTTGGATGAGTGGATTTTCTCTCTTGCAAAGTTTGGTCATTAACCCAGATCGGTATTTCCCTATCGATTTAGAGTTCGCACCAGCAAAAGGATGATTTAATAGCCAAGACTACTCTAGTTGCAAGTGACAGCAACATAACACGATCTGGTTTTAGAATTAAAAAGGGAATTATAATCTTATGTAACTGAAGCATCCAAATTTATGGTTGACATCAGGCATAGCTGGATCCGGGTGTAAATGCAGTTAGCAGGAATACGTCATTCTCCATTTCTTGGCTCTTTTTTCCTTTATGTTGGCAATATTCTCAGGTATACTCTCTCCATGTGACTGTAGCAAAGCAGTCATCTGTAGCTTCAGGCTGAGATGATCCTCACGGATTATGAGTCCAAGGGAAACACACACACACACACGCACACACACACAGAGTTTTCCCAATAGCCCTAACGAAAGTCCCAGGTAAGAATTCCACTGACTAGTCTTGGGTACATACCCAACCCAGAATACATTCTCTCTTAGTTGGCCACCTTATGTGTATTCAGTTGTTTCAACTGTTACAAACCAGGCTGCCGTGATAATTCTCCAGGTTTCCCTCAACATTCATGTTAGATCACTCTGGAATACAGAGGTGGCTATTACTTTGAATACAGGGTGCAATCGTTGGCTTGCATTTAGGTGCCAAGGTTTAAGGGGGAAAAAATGAATTAGCACACCGTGTTTACCCACTAAGAAGCAAGAGGGCTCCCCCCCCCCCGCCCCCTGTCCCCCACCGCTAAGGAAAGAGGAGGCGGGCCTCCCACACACGCTCTTCCAGAGAATCCGCAAAGCACCCTCAGCACGAACCTTATTGTTTTTCTCCCTCTCCTGTTACTACCCCTGGCCGAGCTTGGGATGCAGAGTTGGAGTCCTGTAAATTCAATGTGCATAACGATCTAACTCCCGTGCATTGGTAAGAAAATATGAGAGGAGAAGGAAAAAAGAGAAAAGGCTTGAGTGAACTCGGAAGCACCCCCCGCCCCCCAGCACGGGGCCTCATATGGTAGAAGGACCAAATCCGTGTCCTAGGCACTCCCCTCCTCCCCTCCTCCCCCCACCATCCCAGCTAGTGGGAGGGGGACCCTCCCTGAGCCGTGTTGAAGAGTGTGGACAGATAGAGTCCTCAGCCAAGAACAGTGAGTCAAAAGCACCTTTCACCCTGCCCTTCTTTTTTTACAAGGAAATCTTCCCTGACACGGGTGCTCTACCTTCATAAATCACAGGCCAGGAGCTCAGGCCTTGAGAAAAATCTTAACACTGGCTAACATGACCAACAATAACAATTTTCTTGGAACCTAAAAAAGAAAAAGAAATTTATTTATGGGTTCCCATTTTTATTCCTGCTCCCCCCCTTCCTCTTCCCCTTACATGAATTTTTGTAAACGATAACAAATAAAACTTTCAAAAAAACGGAGAGGGAAGGATTTCTCGAGATCCTGCCCAGTCTTTTTTTTTTTTTTTTCTCTCTTTCTTTCTTTCTTTTTTAAGTCTGCAAGAGTCAGAATAGCATTTCAGTGTTAGGATAGTCATCCAAACCAAATCCCACATCTTTCCATCCTGAGTCAGATGCAGGCTGGACATCTGCCCTCACTCTGGTTATAGGCCTTCTGACCCAGCTCAAGACATGCGATTAAAAATTGCTGTGGAGGGGCGCCTGGGTGGCGCAGTCGGTTAAGCGTCCGACTTCAGCCAGGTCACGATCTCGCGGTCCGGGAGTTCGAGCCCCTCGTCGGGCTCTGGGCTGATGGCTCGGAGCCTGGAGCCTGTTTCCGATTCTGTGTCTCCCTCTCTCTCTGCCCCTCCCCCGTTCATGCTCTGTCTCTCTCTGTCCCAAAAATAAATAAACGTTGAAAAAAAAATTAAAAAAAAAAATTGCTGTGGAATTTGAACTCACAGACATTGGTCCTGACTCAGCCACTCTGAACTCTGCTGTGCCATAAAAACCTGGGCATTTCCTCCTCTCACTTCCCCAGAATCTGCCCGGGAGCGTCCAGGGAAAGGTTGTCACGAACGGACTTGCAATGAAAGTAATTGAATAAACGGAGAGCACGTCTATTTCTGGAATTAGGCTTGTGTGATAGTAGAGAAATCAAATGGGATAAGGGGCAGGGAGAAGCCTGGTGAATCCAATATTCCCGAGTCCACCTCCTTAAATTCCACTCCTCTGGGACTCATCGTCACTAACAATGGCCCTTTTAGCTTCGGAACACGGAATGACTAACCTTTTTCTAGCCTGTCAGTGAGAACTACCACCGTAGACTGGTAAGTATTTCCGTACAAAATTCACTTGGAAAGGATATTGTTTCAAGCCTGGACAAAGCTCATATTGTCGTGTTCCAGTCCCAGTTATTTTAGGCAAGGAAGGGGGATTTCCACTGCTCCCTGTAATCAGTCGTGAGCACTCCCTTCTGAGTAACCACTTCCTTGTAATCTGTCAGAGCCCAAGATATTGAAAAGGAAAAAAAAGAAAAAACCACCCTGATATTATGCATCAAATTCCTAGCCAAGCAAGCCAGTGTGAGAACACATCAATGAGCTTATGCAGGAGCAAAGATGTGACCTCACTCCGTGGAGGGAAAGAGTTGGTTCTGAAGGGTTTCCCAAGAGTTGATTCTAAAAGGAAGGAATGAAATGGGTCAACGCAGGTTCTCCGGTGGAACGGAAAACTAGAGGCGCCTGGGTGGCTCAGTAGGTTGAGCGTCTGACTCTTGATTTCAGCTCAGGTCGTGATCTCACAGTTTGTAGGCTCGGACCCTGCGTCCGGCTCTGCATTGACAGCACGGAGCCTGCTTGGGATTCTCTGTCTCGCTCTCTCTCTGCCCCTCCCCCCCCCAAAATAAATAAATAAACATCAAGAAAAAAATACAAACCTAGCAGCCCCTCAATGTCAACGTCAATGGTGATGGGAGCACTTGTTTATAGCCCACCTGCCATGTGCCGGGCACTGGTTCACCTGAACCATTATTCCACTGGTCTCATTTGCAAGTGGATAGTGCCTAAGGGTTCTTTTTTTTTTTTTTAGAGTCAGTTAATGTACACGAAATACATAATAGTACAGGTGGCAACAGATATGGCAAAAATCCAAAGTAATACAATTGAGAGACGGTGCACCAGACAATGCCATTTCTCAAAATAAAATAAACCCCAAACCAAAACAAACAAAAACACCACCGCAACAAAGTGAAAAAGCAAAAAAAAATTACCGTGTGTTAAACAGTAATTAGGTGCCAGGCACCGTACTAAGTTTCTTAAAAACATTAACTCGGGCCGCCTGGGTGGCTCAGTCGGTGAAGCGGCCGACTTCGGCTCAGGGCACGATCTCCCGGTCCGTGGGTTCGAGCCCCGCGTCGGATTCTGGGCTGACGGCTCGGAGCCTGGAGCCTGCTTCGGATTCTGTGTCTCCCTCTCTCTCTGCCCCTCCCCCATCGCACTCTGTCTCTGTCTCAGTCTCAAAAAAAAAAAAAAAATAGATGTTAAAAAAAAAACATTAACTCAAATCCTCACAAAAGCCCTGTGAATTAGGAAATATTGTGATTCCCGTTTTATGGATGAGGAAACCGAGGTTTAGTAACGCTATGTAATTGGCTCAGGGTCACGTGGCTCGAGTGGCAGAGCTAGAATTTGACCCCACTCCCACCAGCTGCCAAACTCCCACTAGTTAATTGTGACAGTAGAGCTACTGTGCCAAGCACCGTGCTGGGTCATCAACACGACAGCACTCACTCCTCCGGGCAAAGGAAATGCCACAGGTCGCTGGGAGAGGAGCTGCTTCCTGCTCCTGCAGAACGAGAACATCACCATCAAGACCTCACCATCCCCGGGTCCAACTTGTAAGCTAAACAACGTATCCTTGGAGTGACAGATGGTGGCTTAGTCACCCTGGCTCGGCCCTTCTCCCTTTTTCTATAAGCCAGCTATGTCTCGTGGGTGGCTTGGGGCATGACCTCAGAACACACAGGCTGTTACGTAACCTGCCGTAACCGGGCACTGCGTGCAAGGCCGTCAGTGTCCCTCCAGATCCCCGCCGGACGGGCAGAACACCTTCTCCGGCTCTTCTGGGTCGTTTGGGAGCTAACGGCTCCCAGCCAAGTTCATGTTCAGAATTGCCCTCGGCACAACAGGAGCCATGCGTCTCGGGGACAGCTCCTCGCCCTTGATGTGGTCAGCCCACGGCCAGTAACCGACTGTCCCAGGGTGAAAGGCCAGCCCCCTCTGCCTGCGGGTGAGGCCAACGCCGTGCAGTCAGGCTGAATCTGCACTTAGTTTCTTCCCTGCCCTGTTCTGCTTCCCCCACTACCCGTCTGGTGGCTGCTTTCCCTGGCTCACCCATGGGCACCCAGTCCTCATCCCTCCTCCCGCTCTTAGAGGCCCTGCCAGACAGGACAGTGGCTATGCGCCGAGGCATAGGCACTGGGACGCGTATTAAATAGGACGAACTTCGGGAAATTGTGCTTTTGGAGGAAACATTTACACAAACCCAGATACCATGGGAGAAGAACCTCAGGAAAACCTGCCTTCTTTTCTCTCCCCTTGTTCTTACCGCTGCCATGTGCTCAGGCCTGTGCTAAACATGATACAGGCATGGTTCTATTTGATTCTGAGAACAAATTCGTAAGGTAGACCCTCCAGTTACCCCCTTTTGGGAGTCGGTAAAAGTGATATTCAAAAAGTCAATTTGCTTGCCTGGGGTTACACTGCCCGGCGGGCGTAGAAACGGCCTTTGAGCCCACATCTCCAGAACCTCCTCGTTTTGTTTTGTTTTGTTTTGTTTTGTTTACACCGCCTCTTGCCCACTGCTCTAGATCAGGGGTCAGCAAACCAAGCTTCCTGAGCACTGTCTTTGTCAATAAAGTTTTATTGAAACACAGCCACGCGTATTATTTACATATCATCTATGACTGCTTTCAGCCAACAAAGGCAGAGTAGAGCAGGTGACACAGAGCCCGGAGGGCCACACGGCCGAGAACATTTATGATCCATGCTTCTCACGGAAAAAGTTGGCCGACCCCCACTCTAAATGATGGGCTTTTTGGTGGTGCTGCTGTTTAGCCTCAGAGGAAATGTACATTCTCTTCCCTTCAAATCACGGTTCTCCATTCAACTGTGATTTATCACAGACACTGTGTATACTCATTCACCTCCTGGGGAAGGGCCAATCTTACCCATTCTAGTAGGTTCTCATGCAACACCCTCTGGAGAAAAAAAAAAATCCCATTATCTAATTGACCTGCGCTCCCTTACTGGCTTACCCACTTACTCTTTTAAAGGAATTCTATCATTTCCTTGACAGATTATTCTTATAAAGAACCACGGGGGAGTTTCCTCTTGAGATTTCACTCTGGAATTCTCATTGTTCAAGTAGATCCCATTACCTTTTGAACTCCTGCCCCTCTCCCAGAAGTTCCTCTCCTCGTCTTTTATTGCCGGAATTGCCATGCTTGGAAATGGTGATCACCTCCTTCCAGGGGTTTCTGCAACATGGCTTTCGGACTTGGATCTCTTTTCATCTTTTCCCAGAAGTCAGTCACTTCTTAATTATGTTTTGCTGCCCAGTCTTTGAACTGTATCCAATCTGTTTGCATTCTGGGAGGATTAAAATGCAATGACTACCATGGGACTGGTTGAGAGGAAATACACCCCATCCATTCAGTTTCAAATGGTGAGCAGAATTTGAGCCCAACATATTGTATGCTCCTCCTTCTGAAGGCCTCTTCCAGTTATCAGAATTTTCTAGAAGTGTTATTGTGAGCTCAAACCAGCTCTGTTTGTTACTTAATACCATAAGACTCCCGATTTTTAAATGTAAACTCTTACACCAAGTAAAATGGGGACAACTTTTCTGCAAAGCACTTTCATCAGGTACATCGAGGATGATTTAAAAGCGTATACCCTTTGATCCAGTCTCCCCACCCCTAGAATGAACCTCAAGCCTTAGCATCTACTGGAATGTCAGAGACGCAGAGGTAAGGATATTCATCATGGTATTGTTTTAAATAACAGAAAAAAAAAAAAAGGGAAGAATCCACTTTAATATAAAGGCATGGTTAAAAATTGTATGTCTTTCTGAAGGAATGTATTCTGGGCCTAAAAATCATGTGTTTGAAGAACTTTTGATAATATTGTAAAATGTTTGTGAAGCAATGTTAAGTAACAAACTATACAGTGAATAATACCACATTTTAAGAACACATATATCTGTCCGTGTGTATATATATTACATGCATTTTACAAATCCTTACTAAACAGATTAGTTTTTTATTGTTTTGTTTATTGCTATATGCCCAGAACCCAGACCAAGGTTTCCCAGTCACGGCCCTACTGACACGGGGGCTGGATCATTCTCTGTCGTGGGGGTTGTCCTGTGAATTACAGAATGTTTTGCAGCATCCCTGACCTCTACTCACTAGGTGCTGGGGGTACCCCTCTCCCCACCCAGTTATGACAACCAAAATGCCTCCAGGTAATGCCAAATGTCCCTTGGGTGACAAAATTGCCCCTGATCAAGAACCACTCGCCTGGAACATCTAATAGGTGTTTGAAAACATTGCTGAATAATTCAATGAATTAGGAGAGACACATGGAAATTTTAGCAGTTATCTCTTGTTAATATCATTATTTTCTTTTTGGTACCACACTGTGTTTTCCTAAGTTTTCTACTAAAATATGTGCCAAAGTCCTGTTTATAATCCCTCAGCCACAATTGCAAAATCCACAGTTTATTTGATGGCAAATCTGGACTCCTCTGAATGTATATGAGGGCTTTTAACGATCTCAGGTGATGTAAATATTCATACATTTCTCAGAAGTATTAAACTGTTGATTTGATATTCAGCATAAATAAAACACTTCTAAACTATGAAAAAAAAAAAACAAAAACCTGACGTGCAAAATGCCTCTGGCCCTTAGGTTCTAAGACAGGATTGTGGGCCTGTGTTACTTTTACAATCGGCAAACAAACAGAAACATACGAAAACGGTCATGATACTCCTCTACTCAACAGGATAAGATGTGTTAAGACGGTTTTTGCTTTGGGTTTTGGTTTTTTTGAGAGAAAGAAAGGGTGCAAATGAGCCAGGGACAGAGGGAGGGAGAGAGAATCCCAGGAGGGGCAGAAGGGGAGAGGGAGAGAGAGAGAGAGAGAGAGGAAGAAAGAAGTGGGGCTCGAGCTCACCTGATCCAGGGCTGGCACTCATGAACCGTGAGACCACGACCTGAGCCAAAGTCAGATGCTTGGCGATTGAGCCACCCAGGCGTCCAAGGAGGTATTATTAAGTAAACACTCACCCAAAAAATTCTCTCTGAAAACTAAATTACAGGAGAAAAAAAAAAAAAAAAAGGTATGGGTAGTCGTCATAATCTTATTTTACAGATGAGGAAATAGATGCTCGGAAGGTTTTGAACCAGAAGTCCCACAGCTGGAGCATGCTGGTGTTGGACGTAGATCTCAGGTATTTATGACCACAGCTCACCCATCTGAGCCCCACACATGACTGCCTTCTTGTTTCTGGACTCCAGGCACAGCGCCTGGCAGGGACAGGCATCTATGATGTCACAGGGCTGAACGAATGAGCACTTTCTTGGCATGAGGTTAATTTCATAGAAGGCCAAGGCCATCTGAATTCCATCTTAAACAGGAAAGAAAGCAAGGTGCAGCTTGGCAGGGGCTACATAAGAGCTGAGGCCACTGATGTAGGTTCAGTTGCAGCCTGGAAACCATCACAGGGGATGACATAAACCACCGTCCGCGTGCGATGCTTTGTAGGTTGTGTGGACACGGGCTCCGGAGCCAGACCCCTTGGGTTCCGATCCACGTTCGCCATTCATTAGTTGCAAGGTAATTGAAGGCTCGGTGCCTCAACATTCTCATTTGAAAGATGGGAACCATAATAAGACCTCCATCCCAGGTCTGCTATGAGGACCAGGCGGGTTAATACAGAAAGAGTGTTTGGAAGGGTATCTGGCCCATGCTAAATGCCCATTAAATATCCTCCCCTCCTTTCCCCAGTACATCTTTTTTTTTTTAATGTTTATTTTTTTTTGAGAGAGAGTGAGCGCAGGAGGGACAGAGGGAGAGAGAGACAGAGGATCCGAAGGGGCTCTGCCTTGACCAACAGAGAACCAGATTTGGGGCTGGAACCCACAAACCATGAGCTCATGACCTGAGTCGAAGCTGGGAGCTGAACCGACTGAGCCCCCCAGGCGCCCCTCCCCCCGTACATCCGAAGCATTTGCTACTTTGATAGCTCTCAGCCCCTGTGAATGGAGGATAGCACAGAGGCGGTACTGAGCCCTGGTCAAGGGTTTGTATTCAGACTGGCTGAGGCTCACATTCCCGCCCTTCCGGGCATGAGCCTTGTGACTGGGCAAAGTCCCTTCCCCTCTCTGTGCCTCGATTTCCCCATAGATACAACCTAAGTAGCAATACATCATTATGGGAATTTTGTGGGAACGGGGCGATCTGCAGGGTGCCTGCTGCTCGGCTCGGTCATTACTCAACAATGGTGACTATTTGTGTTAACCTCCCATCTCAACGATGAGAAACCAAGAAGCAGAGAGGTTAGGCATCAGGCATCTAAAGGTGCAGAAGCCTCAGCCGTTTCCATAGCAACGTGCCAACCACACGTGGGGTACAGAATAACATTAAGAGCTGTACGGACAAATTATGTCATACTTTTAATAGCCATGTATTTATCGTGTTTCTTTCCACCTGTGGCAAGCAAGTCCACCCCCCCCATTAATAGAGTGATAATGAAGCTTCCTTTTTATATAAATAGAGTTAAGCATAAGTAGTGGATTCATGTAAAGAAAAATATAAAGTGAATACTAAACAAGCTGGGGCCAGATATGGTGCAACCGCACAGGTCATATGTGGACAGCTGTGTGGAAGAAGTGTTGGGCTAGACCACATCTGGTGACTCAAATAGCCCAGCAGAACCGTCAAGGGGATCTTCAAGGACAGCAGGCACTGATGGTCTGCGTGATTCACCCTACGTGCTTTATTAGTGAGCTCTTCCTCTCTCTGAGTACACACTGACCTCGTCCTTTATGGATTTCCTAACCACGAATTGGAACCATGTTTCCACTGTCTCAGCATTCAATTTACAGCCTTCCCTAATTTCCCATTTTATGTCATTAACGTGTGTGTGTGTGTGTGTGTGTGTGTGTGTGTGTGTTAGAGATCCTTGTGAACATAAGTCACAATTCCTTCACTCACACTACCTGCTTCAGTAATGGACACACAGGCGTGGCTCAGTCATGATAGTTGACCATGTGCTGTGTGCATCCATGATTGTTCTGATGCTCCCAACAGCTTGATAAGGTAGGTATAATTGCGTGCCAATTTTTACAAATGGGAAACAATCTGAGGCTTACAGAGGTGATGTGAGCCCAATAGAAGCAACTAAAACTACAAGTTGAACCCAGGTAGCTGAATGTCATGCCTAACTGTTACACCACATTGTATCTACGTTAAAGCATGCCTTGGATGGATGGATGGATGGATGGATGGATCAGGAGAAAGCATAGAGAGACAACAAGACTATCTTTGAGCTACCTATAAAACTTCCATGTTTGGAGTTCTCTTATGGACTAAGCATTAGACAGACATTATCTTCAATCCTCATCTACAATCTCTGCTCAGAGAAAAGATGACTTGGAGATGTAGCAGAGGTTTGTTATTAAGACATCTGCTACTCAGAGCAGGGACTCTAAAAATCAGACAAACTAGGGTCCCAATCTTAGATCTGCCATTAAAAGCTGAGCAATCTTGTGCTGGTTATTTATAGTGCCTAGGCCTCAGTTTCCTCATCGATAATGGGGTAATTATATCTCCTTCCCTAGGGGTCCTAGAAGGATCAAATGAGACCAGGTGACCCCCATGCCTGCTTTATATCTTATTCTCAATGTGTAGTCTGTATCATTGCTGTTGCTGTGTGGCTATCATTAGCCTTACCACTTACAAATCTCAGAGCCAGACTATCACTCCAGGTCCATTTTAAGCGATTGAGAAGGTTGTGAGTTCACGTTGGGCTAGGACATCACAGAGAGTAATTGGTTGAATAATGGCTCCCGGAGGAGGCCCATCTCCAAACCCCAGAGCCTATGAATCTGTCACCTTGAAAGGCAAGGGGAATTGAGGTCGCCGATAGAACTAAGCTTGCTCGGCAGCTGATTTTAATGTTTATTTATTTTTGAGAGCGAGACAGAAACAGAGTGTGAGCAGGGGAGAGGCAGGGAGAGAGGGAGACACAGAATCCGAAGCAGGCTCTAGGCTCTGAGCCGTCAGCACAGAGCCCCACGCAGGGCTCGAACTCATGGACCGCGAGATCATGATCTGAGCCGAAGTGGGATGCTCAAGCGACTGAGCCACCCAGGCGCCCCGCTCGTCAGCTGAGTTTAAAGTAGAGAGATTATCCTGGATCATCCAGTGGACCCAAGGTCATCGCAAGGGTCCTTGGAAGTGGGAGAGGGAGACAGGCTGGGGGACTGTGACTGGAAGAAAATAGGTTGAAGACGGGGAAGGGGCCATGAGCCAAAGAACGTAGGCAGCTTCCAGCATCTGGAGCCTACTTCAGATTCTCTGTCTCCCTCTCCCTCTGCCCCTCCCCCACTTGTGCTCTGTCTCTCTCTCTCTGTCTCTCAAAAATAAATTAAAAAAATTTTTTTAATCTGTTTTGTTGATGCCATTTTGGTTGTTTCTATGATGTCAAGCACCTTTTCATGTACTCATCAGCCATTTCTACATCTTCGGTGAACCGAGTCTTTCGCCCGTTTTAAAAATGCGTGTGTTTGTGTTTCCATTACTATCTGTGGAAGTTCTCTGTATATTCTTTATACGACTTCTTTATCACATATATGGAGAGCAACATTTTTCTCCCAATAATCTGTGACTTGTCCATTTTCTCAATAGTATCTTAGGATGTGCAGCAATTTTAAAGGGTAATGTTGTCCAATTCACTTATTTTACGTTTAGTGCTTTGTGTGTCCTAAGAAATCTTCGCGTAACCTAAGTTTACCAGGATCTTCTTCTTGGTGTTCTAGAAGATTTCTCGTTCCAGCTTTTATGTGCAGTCCTGTGATCCATCCCAAATTTATTTTTGTGTCTGGAGTTAGTGTGGGAGAACAGACAAACAAATTCCATGGCCGGTATTGTAGAGACAACAGGATGATTGTTCCTAAACTCAGGGTCTAGTGCAGGATTTGGCAAACCTTTTCTTTCCGTAGAAACAGGCCAGACGGTGAATATTTTCGGCTTTCCCAGGCTATGCAGTCCTTGATGCAACTTCTCAACTTTGCCTTTATCGTGCAAATACAACCATAGGCAACGTGTAAAAGTCAAGAGCTCGGCTGTGTGCCGACGGAAGTATTCGCACACAATGCGATTTGAATTTCATGTCATTTTTACATTTCATGAAATATTATTCTTCTTTTGGTTTTTCTTAAACCAGTTAAAAACTTGAAAACATTATGCTAAGTGAATAAGGGGGACACAGAAAAAACAAATACCGTATGACTCCACTTTATATCAAGTACCTAGACTGGGACAATCCATAGAGACAGTACCACAGAGGTTACCAGAGGCTGGGAGGAGGAAGGAATGGGCAATGATTTAATGGGTATATGTGTTTGGGATGATCAAGTTTTGGAAGCTGACGGTGGAAACGTATTGGAAATATACCGAATGCCACTGAATGGTACACTTAATAATCGCTCAAATGGTCAATTCTATGTGCTATATATTTTACCAAAATATATTTTCTCAAACTTAAAAAGGAATTATAGCTAAAGGTCTTATTATGAGTCAGGCACTGTACTAAGGATATCACATGCTAATTCAATTTTTTAAATGTTTACTTATTTTTGAGAAAGGCAGAGCACACGTGGGGGAGGGGCAGAGACAGAGAGAGAGAGAGAGAGAGAGAGGGAGGGAGGGAGAGAGAGAATCCCAAGCAGGCTCCATGCTGACAGCAGAGAGCCCGATGCAGGGCCGAAACGTGAGATCACGACCTGAGCCGAAGTTGGACTCTCAACCGAGTTACCCGGGTGCCCCACATACAAATTCACATGATCTTTGTAACACTACAAGGTAGGGGTCTCTTATTATCATTACACCCATTTTATAGATGAGGAAACTGAGGCGCTGAGTTTTGACGACTTGCCCAAAGTCACCTTGCTAACGAGTTGCCGAACCAGCAGTCTGGCTGTGGGTCCGCATTTTAAGTCACCCTGCTTCGTCGCCTCAAAAACCAGTGACTCTCAACCTTGGCTGAACGCTAGAGTTTCCTGGGGAGCACTTTTAAATCCCTGTGTCCTGGAAGGATCTAGTTAAATCACAGCCTCTGAGGGTGGAACAAGGCATCAGTAGCTGTTAAAGTCCCCCAGCTGCTTCCAGTGTGCGGTCAGGGTTGAGAATAACTGCTTCAAAGGGCAGGCTTCTCTCAGAAGATGACATTTCAACCAGAATGAACGGGAGTCAGCCGTGGTGGGGAGGGGCAGAGCAACAGTTCAGGCCATATGTGCTATCAGTCATGTATTCTTATCGAAAGGTGTTGGTCCTTTTCCCCTGTGACAATAATGCGAAACATCCTCAAAGCAATAGCAGCTCATATTTATTGAGCAATTATGCCCCAAGCATGATCCTAAATGTTTCCCATACACCATCTCCGTTCACGTTCATGATCATCTTAGGAAGTCAACCGCATCATCCCCGTTTCGCAGACGAGGCAACTGAGGGCCTGAGGCCTAAAGAGAGTTGCTTGCCCAAGGTCACACTAAGCGGCATCAGCCACATACTGTCAGAGTTTGGTGCTCCAGACACCTTCACAGTGAAGCTTTCCGAGGGTGTCCCAGTCAGGAGCAGTGAGAAAGGACGTCCCTTGGTAAATGGAGTCAGAACCTTGGTGCTCCTCTAACATCGCCATAGCCCAGAGACAGCTCCAAGAAAGAGGCTTGTTAATGCTTCTGCATAATCTCACTCTGGGGCGAAGAGGAGCCCGGGAGCCAGGAGAAGCGTGTTGGGGAAATTCAGTGTATTATCAGCTGGAATCCAGCAAGTGGATGTAGAAGGCCCCTGGTCCAGGGAGAAGCTGTGTGTGTGTGCGTGTGTGTGTGTGTGTCCATGTTTGGATCATGTGGATTATGTCCACTACCTAGAGCAGATCCGAATGGGAGAAAGGGCCACCCACCCCAGGAAACGTAACACAGACAAGACTCCCACGACTTTTCCCCCAACTCCGGAAAGCCCGAGACCGCGTTTTGCTTATACATCACCCCTGACTCTAGAACGGCGTCTGGCAGACAGGGTACTTGTTCATCACGGTGTGTGGAACAAATAGATAACGTGCAGTGGGGTGGGGGTGGGGGTGCCCTCCACTCGAGCACTGGAACCGAGCTCCCTGCCCGAACTTGTTAAGGGCCGAAGGAAGGACTGTTCCAGGAAGAAGGAAAGAAGAATTCATGTTCCAAGTTCAAAGGAAGCTTTTCTGTTATTCTCTGTCCCCCATCACTGATAAGGAAACTGAGGCTCAAAGAGGTTTAGTCAGTTTGTCACTTATCAGGCAGCTAGAAAGTACCAGAACTTCGGTTTGAACTTGGGCCTCCCGGCCCCTCTCCCAGGGCTCTTCCTATTACCCATTAGCAAACAGACAACCAGAGGTTAACGCATAGGTCTGCTCTGCAGCACAGGAACCCTAACCATCACCGCCAATGACAAAAACCATGAGGACAGCGTTAACCAACACGTAGTAAGAGCTTACTAAGAACTTACTATGCGCCAGAAACCAGTCTGCATACGTAAAATGCATTATCTCAAGGGATCTTCACCAACAAATCTAGGGAATGGAATCTATTGTCATCCTTATTTTATAGTTACAGAAACAAGATCCAGAAGCATTAACAAGCCTCAGTTCACACAACTACGAAGGGGCAGCACGAAAGTTCAAACTCAGGAGGATCAGCCCTCCCTCATAGCATAGCGGCTTTCTCCAGCCTGGTGGGCAGGTTGGTCCCAGCATCAGGCAACCGGCCTCTGGCTGTCACCGAGTGGATGATAATAGCAATTATGGCCTTTCTGGGGCTCTTAACATTTCTATTTTAAGAGAACCTCGCAGCCTTTTGACAAAATTTTCTGGTTTTCAAATCCAGGTGCTTAGATGTTATGTCTCCATGGGGAGAGAGCTCAGCTCCTAAAACTTCTGGCCTCTCTGTGCCCTTTATCTTCTCGATTCCAGGGAGGGAGGAGTGATTTATCCAGCAGGAGAATTTGGGAAGAATAGAGCTGTCCTCTCTGTTCCTTGCGTCCTCGTGGAAGAGTGGGTTGTTCTTGAAACTCACGTTCTCCTGTGCTGGGAGATCCACTGAGGTTCAGAAGCTCCAAACCTATAGATATCTGGACCTATCAACAATAAAGGTGACATTTTGGCTCCTATCTGTGCTGTGGACTGTATCCCCCCAGAACTCATCTGTTGGAACCTGGTTTCCATTTTGATAGTAAAGTAATCTGGTTGCAAAGATAGAATCCCCAAGAATGGAATTAATGTCCTTAGACAAGAGACCCAGAGAGCTCCCTCGCCTCTCCCGCCTGGTGGGGACACATGGAGAAGTCAGCAACCTGGGAGGGGTCCTCACCTGACCATGAGGGCACTTGATCTCCCACTGCCAGTCTCCAGGACCACAAGAAGGAAAGTTCTGTTGTCTATAAGCCACCCAGTCTACGGTGTTTTGTTGCAGCAGCTCCGATGGACTAGGACAACTTGCATATCCCTTGGTCTTAGTTTTCAACTGGTTAATAACTCCAGCAGGCAAGATGCCGTCTTTTGGACCTCCTCAAAAGGCCCATCACAGGGAGGCTACTTTTAGTGAGGTGCAGTGTCGCGTTTATCGGTGGGAGCAATAATTCAGCACTAGGGATGTGTTTTCTCTTTCCCGTTCGCTTATTTATCCCATATTCACTTGCGAAGCACCTCCTATGTGCCCGGCACTTCGCTAGGGACTGTTTAAGTAAGGATGAGCCATTGCAAGTGGGAGCAAAGAGCCAAATCAAGACTGAATGGAGTTCTTACTTCCAACCTTTCTCTGGGAGGTTGAGCAAGAGGAGGGGAGAGAGGGCGTCAGCTGTTTTCAAGGAGCTTGACATCCACTCCCCATTCTTTGGGTTACAGCACCCTGGTTTTCCTTTGGGGGTCACCCACTTTATTGTGAGCCGCTCCAGTGGGACTGTCAGTCAAGGCACCTGGCCCCTCCCCCGGCCAAGGGATGAGCCCATGGTCAAGACAAAACATCAAACTCTAGATGTTGGGCTGGTGACTCTCTGCCAGAGGGGCGCAGGGCAGAAAGCACATTGCCGCTTCCCTGCTCCAGAAGAAAGTCCTTGAGGAGCCTCGCTCCCTAGACACATGGGACTGTTCTAGTTCTTCCCTCCCTCCTTCTCTGCTTCTCTCTTTCTTGCTTAGTTCTCAATTCCCCATCTGTGAGTTTCTCCATATCTGCCCATTAAAGTGTTTTCAGCATAAGTCAGCCAGAATCGGGTGCCTTTGCAAGAGAAAAATACCATCGCCACAGTCTGCACATGGACTGTAGGAATTAGAACTTTGTGTTCAATGCCTTGGGGAACTTGAGGTTAAGAGGAGACTTTCAAATTTAGGGTCAAGGAGACCTTGTGGCTCGCTGATTAAGAACACGGGCTCTTGAGTCAGCCCTTCCTGGATATAACACCCGGCTCTGCCATTTGTTAGTTACTGGCTGATGTGGGACACATGACCTAACTTCCCAAGCCTCAGGTCCTCTTCGGTGAATGTAGGATAATAATAGTACCTAGCTCCCAGGGCTGGCAATGCGGTGAAGTACGTAATAACCTTTGGCTGTTATTTTAGTGATTACTCTTCAAGATTTCTTCTGAGAAGTCATACAAAACAGGAATGTAAATTGCAAAAAAGACGCTGAGCAGGAAGGCACTACAGAAAGCCTTCCTCCAAAGGGGATGTTTATTTCAGAGACACACAGGGGGACGCTCAAGCAGCTGTCTTCCAGGAAATCGTCCACAACCCAGGGTGAGTTCTAAATTTTAAGTGACTAGCCAGTGTCAAAGGATTGGAAAGGGAAGAAAACACACTAGGACGATGTAAAAATCTAACCACACATTGCATAAGCTCTGAGCGCTCCCAGATTTAATGAGAATCCTGAATTTGGACGTGCTTCCCATCTCCATTAGGCAAAGAATCAACACCATCATCCATATTCTATTGGCAGCTACCTCTGCACTGAACAGTAAATATCAGAAACCAAATACCGGGGCTCCCTAGGATCTTGGAAAGAGGAAGATGTAAATGATTAATCCAAAGGCTCAGGGCCTTTGCATTGGAGGTGTTTTCTGCTGCAAGTGTTCTCCCCAGCACCCCCATCGCCCCTTTCGGTGTTCACCTCTACCTTCTTATTTCAGCTCAAAGGTCACCACCTCTGAGAAGCACTCTGGGTTCTCTCTAGTGGAACCAGCCTCTCAGAGTGTTCTCTGTGTTTCCTTCCCAGCAGTACCAAGTTTGTGATAGATGTTTCCGTGATTGTTGGATCGGTGGCTTTTCCCAAGTAGACCACGAGTTCCAGGTGGGCAAAGATCTTGTCTGTTACGCTCACTTCGGTAGATCGGGGAAGATTGGTTCCAGACCCACAAGAGAAACTCTATCCATCTTTGTTCGTTTCATGACTTTGGTAAATGTCTACTGATTAGCTTTCATTCACTCAGCAAGGGCTTAAATTCTTAGCACGTGTTATTCAATGATGAATGCCATCATTAGTGCATTCCTTTAATTATTAATTCGTTAATAATCTATAAATGCTTACAATCTGCCAGGCACTGAGCAGTGAGGACCCAGCCGTGACAAAAAGAGGAAAAAATCCCGATCACAGAACTCACAGAACTTACACTGTAGTGGGAGGGGGTCATCAATGAATACATAAATAGACGTGTGTCCCAGGAGACATACGTGCTTAGGAGAATAATAAGTGGAGAAAAGAGATAGGAAGAACTGGGGCCGGAGCACATTGTGGGGGGAACTATTTTATTTTATTTCTAAAGTTTATTTATTTATTTTGAAAGAGATAGAGAGGGAGAATGAACAGGGGACCCGACGTGGGGCTCGAACTCACGAACTGCGAGATCATGGCCTGAGCTGATGTCGGATGCTTTACCGACTGAGCCACCCAGGTGCCCACAATTTTAAAGAGAGATGCTGGAGAAGACCTCACTAAGCAGAGACCTCCACAAAGGAGGGAACACAGCATGGGGCAACCGGAGAGGGGGGAACATTCCAGAAAGGGAGTGGCAGGTGCAAAGGGCCTGCAGGGGCGTAGAGAAAGAAGAATCCAGGATGACCCTGATGTTGGTGTGAGTAGCTGGCTAGAGGCTACCATGGCTCAGGAGAGAAGGGACGGTGACAGAAGAACCCAAGTCCTCTTTGGCCACCTTGAATTTGACATTAATGAGGAAGTAGCAACAGGGAGATGCGTATTGGCTTTTATTTTCTTTTAAGATTAGTTATTTATTTCGAGAGAGAGAAAGAGAGCATGAGTGGGAGAGGGACAGAGAGAGAGAGAGACAGAGAGACAGAGAGACAGAGAGAGAAAGAATCCTAAGTGGGTTCAGCACTGTCAGTGCAGAGCCTGATATGGGGCTCGAACTCATGAACCGTGAGATCACGACCTGAGCCGAAATCAAGACTCAGATACTTAACCCGCTGAGCCAACCGGGCGCCCGCATATTGGCTTTATTTTTTTTTTTTTAATGCTTTTACTTTATTTTTGAGAGAGAGAGGCAGAGACAGAGCACGAGCGGGGGAGGGGCAGAAAGAGAGGGAGAGACAGAATCTGAAGCAGGCTCCAGGCTCGGAGCTGGACAGAGCCAGCACAGAACCTGACCTGGGGCTCGAACCCACAAACGGAGATCATAACCTGAGCCGAAGCTTGACGCTCAACTGACTGAGCCACCCAGACGCCCCCGCATTGGCTTTATTTTTAAATGTTATTAAAATATTGCACACACACAAAATAGCAGACACAACGGAAGTATCCAGCCTCAAGGATTTCCCGAAGCGTGGTGTTGGGTAATCAGCACCGCCCCCCCAAAGGCCCTCGTGCCCATCCTGGTCCCTGTTCCCTCCCTCAGTGACCACTGTCTGGCCTGGCACGACAGATGCATTTTATTGGCATTTTTCAACCCACGATCAAGAGATAATATGGGGCACTGGCTCAGGTCATTCTCAGAAAAATACCTCATCTGCTTTTTCTTTTAGACTAAGACTTTTGATTTGTTTTGTTTTGCTTCCTTTTGTTGTTTGCAACTGGGAGCTTTGCTTATTTGTTTTATTCGCCTTCTTCTCAGGGCGAGGTGCTAATGCGGGGTGTGGGTGGGGTCGCTCGGGGCTGGCAGTCACCTCCTGTCCGGACCCCCCCCCCCGGGTCCTGACCTCTGTAAGCGGGGAGGGGGGGGGGCAGCCACCCACCAGACCAGCTGGAGCTGCAAACCCTACTCCCTGCTTTCAGAAAGCAAGTCCCCTGCCCACACTGTCCCCGTCCCCAATCCCCCAGGGGCTTCCCCCCCCCCAACCCTGCCTCATCCAACCCCAGCAGCTGGTTCTTCTTAATGCATCGCTGTTAGTTTACAGTGGCTGCAAGTGTTCATTTTCATGTTTTAATGAAAACACAGCCAGCTTCATTCCATCCTGAAAATTAATGTCTTCTTTCTCTATCCGCGTCGCCCTCCCTCTCACTATATCCACCGATTGTTTCTTTTGGAATTAATTCCCCTCTCGCTTTGCCTCCGTAGAGCTCTGACTCCCGGGAGAAGGAAGAGGACGGCCCCTCGGGGCCGCACAGAATGGACAGGCCAAGCGACAGGAGGGAGGCCGCCCGCGCTCCTCCAGGGCCTTGAGGAAGGCACAGTCACACCTGCAAAACACAGCGCCCATCTTTTTCATCCGCTTTTACTTCTCAGGAGACCCCGGTCCCCAGAGACCTGTTTTCACCTCCCCGGCTCGGCACACATGTTTTCTACATGATATTAACCGGTCGCCTTTGAATCTCGTACATCCTGGTATGCTTTGGATTCACCGACCTCATTTTTACACACACACGCACACACACACACACACTCCCCGGAATCTGTACTAGCTGACTGCCGGCAAAAGAAAACGTTAGTGTGGCTCTTTCTCCTTCTTTTAAACAGCTTAAATGAGATACAATGTACACGCCATAAAACTCACTTGAAGTGTGTTCTTGCCTGACTTCGCGTTTACTTACTGGGGTGTGCATTAGCTGTTTCTTCCTGAAAAATGGGGCCGCCGGGTGGACATTTTGACCCTACAGGCTCCGCCCTTTGACAGGTGACATCTAAATAGACAGCAGATTGTGTCCATGTTTCCACCCCCTTCGCCCCCCTCCAAAAGTGGTTTTACTCATTTTGCCACATACAACCTACTTCCTGTGTTTGGAGTCTGAGCCGCCCAGGCCTTTTCGGGAGACTTGCTGCCTGGTTTCTGCACTAATAGTAAGTTTCTTTTGTGTTGGAGGGGTTTTCTGTTCGGTTTTTTGTTATTTAGAGTCTTCTGCTGTTTCCCTTATCTGCGGGGCTGGGGAGACCCCAGTGAAAGGTATCTGTGTGGCCTAACGGACTCTGCAGAAGTATTTGGTACTTAGAGCCAAATGTAAACGTTCGCAGCATTCTGACTCTGGGGGTGGTCAGAAAGGAAGATGGTTAGGAATATGAAGAGGCCTGGAGCTTTTTCCTGATATTAAAATGTTAATCTCTAGTTTCGCTCTGACTTCTGTCTCTGTTCCCTCGTTTGAAGAATAGGATTTAAAATAACTGCTTCATGGGGCGCCCGGGTGGCTCTGTCAGTGAAGCACCCGACTCCAGCTCAGCTCATGATCTCGCGGCTCGTGAGTTCGAGCCCCACGTCGGGCTCTGTGCTGACAGCTCGGAGCCCGGAGCCTGCTTCGGATTCTGTGTCCCTCTTTCTCTCCACCCCACCCCTGCTTGTGCTCTGTCTCTCTGTGTCTTTCAAAAATGAACAAACATTAAAAAAAAATTTTAAATAACTGCTTCAGCAGATTTGCCTAAGGATCGCAACGTGCAAACTCTTTAGAACACAATCAGTTTCTCCAAATCTACAAATACTCATTAAATATGAGTTTGAAGGAGCTTCACTACTGGCATAAGAATTCTGTTTCTGTCAAGGAGCATTAATAAAAACGTAGTGGCTGCAGTCAGACAGGTATGCTCCAGCTCAAGCATTCACTCAGCGAATACGTACTAAGGCCTGCTGGGTGCCAGATATTGGGGATTGCAATGGTGGACACGCAGGGAGAGTCAGGTAGAGGAGAGAAGATGTTCCCCACGTAGTCAAGCAAGTAAATATCTACGTACAAGCGATCTAAGTACCACAGCAAGGGCTGTGGGAGAAACTTCCGCTGTGTGTGTACGTGTGTGTGTACGTGTTCAAAAAAGTTTTAAGAGGATGTATATTTTGCTAGTAAATTTATCCCTACCAGCATAGAAAAATTTTCTGGAACAATCCATGAGAAGTTGGTTACAATTGTTTCTTTGTAGGATCCAGAAAAGTACATGGGGGAAGGTCTACTTTTTATTCTATACATGTCTTACACAGTGTGAAGTCTCTAGCCACAAGCATGTATTTTTTATTATTTATTTGCTTGTTTACCTACCAGTGGACCTTCTCTAAGCAGCAGACTGAGAGTCCACGTCGATTTTCTTCGTTAGTTTTCTCCATTCAAAACCAAAACTTGTTATTTAAAATGAATAAATGATTAACTGCTTAAAGTATTTAACTTGTCATGCCAAACCAATTAAAGAGTGCATATAAAATCGTTATACTTGAAAAGACAAAGGTCATTTACGAGAGTGCAGAAATTCATCAACCCACACCAAGGTGTTCCCAAGCCCACTCATGCCCACAGAGCTCGCCCAGACAATAACCTTTTGATTCAACAGATATTTATTGAGTGCCTACTGGGTACCGGTGTTGTTCTGGGCACTGGCAGGTAAAACAATAGCCCAATCTCCTGTTGTAGGAAACAGACAATATATCTGTTTCTTTTTTTATTTTTATTTTTTTAATTGTTTTTTAACGTTTATTTATTTTTGAGACAGAGAGAGACAGAGCATGAACGGGGGAGGGTCAGAGAGAGGGAGACACAGAATCCGAAACAGGCTCCAGGCTCCGAGCGGTCAGCACAGAGCCCGACACGGGGCTCGAACTCACGGACCGCGAGATCATGACCTGAGCCGAAGTCGGCCGCTTAACCGACTGAGCCACCCAGGCGCCCCTATCTGTTTCTGATCAAGCAAATCCAATATACATTATATATAAATCAAGCCAATCAAATATACAATATATATTTTATAGAACTATATAATAATAGAAGTATTGTGACGAAAAAGGAAAGCAGGGCTGGGTGGTGCGGGACCAAGGGATTGGGTGGTGCTTTTTGGTTATTATATAGAATAGATTTTGTGGTTGCATTCACCATAGAGAAGGGCCAGGAGGCATGTCTGAGGAGATGGCACATCAACAAGGACCCAGATGAGGAGAAAGAGGCATGAGCCGTGGAAGAATGTTCTCTGCGCGAGAGACCGGTAAAGGCCCTGATATGGGAGTGCCGGAGACCGGTGAAGTCTAGCGGTGAGCATACACACTGGGTATGCTGTTCTGTCCTCCTGTCGTAGTGCTCCAAACATTTCAGAATCTAGACTTATGTTCTAGAAAGGAAAACTGAAACACTGATAGCTTTATTATCTTTGTGTGTATGGGGATATGCTATTCAGGGCATTGCCTCTCTTCTTGAGATCTTAAATAAAAATAGTCGCTGTGAACTATACATACCAGGGAAACAGAAATACAGTAAAACCTTGGTTTGCGAGCTTAATTCGTTCTGAAAACATGCTTGTAATCCAAAGCACCTGTACACCAAAGCGAATTTCAAAAACTATTGGCTCGGTTGTGATCGTGTGACGGCCCGCATCACGCACGACTCGTATCGCAAGACATCACTTGGTTATCAAGCGAAAATTTATTAGACATGTTTGCTCGCCTTGCGGAACGCTCGCAGAACACGTTACTCGCGTTCCCAGGTTTTACCGCGGATCTTTTTTTTTAACATATCTTTATATTTCAATATATATTTTTAAACTTCGTATGGCCATATTCATCCACAGTTGCCATAATACATTTTCTTTCTATTGTCCTAACAGCATCTCATGAAACCCGTGTGTGTTTTATTACTGCGGTACATGTCGTTTTTAGGCACTGAAATTGACTTAGCAACTATCACTCCCAGACTATTTCGACAAGGATTCTGAGACGTGTTGTTTTCAACCGACTCTAAGTAGGAGGGGGGCTGGGACAGGCGAGTGAAACCATGTGCTACTTAAAGAAAATAACAAAACATAATAATGCCGTTGGTGCTGCTGGCGACAAGCCTCTTCTGACTGAGCACCTTGGAATGCTCTTCCCGCTGCGGGACTCACCTGTCGGATGAGGGGCTGGCGATTAAGTTTTCTCTGCGTCCTCTGATGTCATGTTCTCTTTCCTTTTCTCGAGAGGGTTTTCAGTGCCAGCTCTGTCATCAGTCACTGTCACTACGACCGTCTGAGTGTGAGGTTCACCTTCTCCTCTTTCTCCAAACAGGGCTTCTGTGGGTGGGTTGTTCTAGAACACTGGCTGTCAACCAGAGGTGATCCAGACCAGGAGAGGCTTGGCAGCGCTGGGAGATGCTTTTTGGCTCGTCACACTGTGCTCCTGGCATGTAGCAGGTGGAGGCTGGGGGTGCACTGCCCAGGACGGCCCCCCACTCCCCACCCCCGACACGCGAAGAACAATGCTGCCCCCAGTTTCATCAACGGTGCCGAAGCTAAGAGCCTCGGGTCTCGAGAAACTGGGAAAGATGAAGAAGGGAGACCGTGAGTGGAGGACACTGTTGCCTTATGATGCCCACGCGGTATTTCCCACCCAAGAAACACGCAGCAACTTTTGTCTTAGTTGATGCTGATTACTCTCGATTATCCATCCCCAGAGACCTGGGCGTGCGGCTGAACCCCACGTTAGGGGACAAGCACGAGGGGACAAAACTGGAGGCACATTCAAACATGTGCCGTAACTACCGGAGCCTTTTCTGCTCTGTCTTCAGATCCTTGGTTTCATTCAAGGGCCAACACAGTTGATCTGCATATGGCATTCAGCAGCAAAGTAAACTTTTTTCTCGGGTCTTTTGTTTCCAAATCAAAGGGAAACAAAGGACATCAAGCCCCATTCAGGCACTTTCAATGACTCTCAAATAAACGTGGGAGCAATACTGGAGCCGTTTATAATGCTCAGTGATGAAAAAGCATACTTATTAACCTTGTAAACATTCTATAAAAGTACAAGGGAAACTTCATAAAGAATATCCAAGTGTCCTTTTAATATAATAGCCCTTTGTACTTTGAAATGTTCATATGTGTACAAAATAGAATTAAGCAGAACAGACTGGAAGAACACAGTCTTCGAGCCTTCTAGTAATGGTGCCATTAAAACATTATTTTGCAGTTTCTTAAGACTCAGAAGATTAAGGTTTCTCACCCCGAGATCAGTTCCACTTACAAAAAGCGCTTTGGACCCATATTTAACCAACCGTCAGAAGGGATTCAAAAGCAGGCTAATTGAACACGGGGGTTTTGGAAACTCTGTAATGATGACCCGGGTTTTTTTCTGGAAAACACCAACAAGGGCAGCTTGGCAGGAAGCAGGAATTAGACAGGAGAGTTGATTTGAGACCTGCCCTCCACACTGGAAGGAAAACTCCCCCGTAAGAAACGGTGAGGTTTGAAATCAGTGCAGGATCTATCATTCTGCACTGGGGCCTCCAGCCTTAACGCAGGGCATTTTATCGCCACCGCAATTCCCCAGGAACTGCCCTTCTCGCGTGAGACAGATCCACCTCTCGGAGGAAAGGAAACCGGCTCTATCTGTTCAACCCGTCCTCTCCCTTCTGTGTCTGAGCCATCGCCGGGTTCTCTCTGTGTTTTGCAATCCCCTCCATGGCTCCAAAGGCCGACAAAGTCTGTCTCCAGTGAGGGTACTGAGCCGAAAGCCCACACCGCCTGACCGTATTTTTCTCTTTCTTAGCCTTTTACCCGCTGACTTCACATTTCTCGGGAGCAGGCCAGCTCGGGCAGACCTCCCCCGAATATAAAGTTCTGCAGGGGCAAGCTGGAGAACCACACAGGGGAGATTTCACGAGGAGCCCCGTCTGACGTTTTCTGCCTGAATCCTTGGGCCTCGCTCCAGCCTACAAAGGCAAGTGGCAGGAAACTAACAGCCATAATCAAATGAGCTCAGCCAGCCTGGAGTCTCTTTTGCAAGGGGATCACAGGCATTCTGCCCAGCAGAACCTAGAGAGAGAGAGAGAGAACCTCTGTCCTGAAATCTCTGAAGTTGCCTGCCAGTGAGTCAGTACATACCTGACCAAAAAAATAAATAAAAAAAGTTGTCTAACTGGTTCGACTGTTTCAGCCAGCTATTGCTGAGAGAAGTAAACAGAACATCACCGCTTCAGTTATGTCTGACTTGGGCATTATTTTCAAGTCAATATTTGTCATCTCAGTGCTGTTCCATTGCGGCCTTTGAGACGGATAGATGGGCACCTCGTCTTGGGGAAACCCACCCAGCAGCCACCAGCCTCCACCGGCCCCCCCTCATCTCAGGACGGGGGTGGGGAGGGTTTAGTGACACTGAGTCAGGACTTCGCAGTTACCTCATCAGGATGTAGCTGAATTGAGAAATGCTCTCACTTTGCCCTCTGGGCTCCTCCAGTCCGGGCCCCGGGTTTCTGCCGACCGCTGCACTTTTCAGTGAATTCGACACGCAGGCGTTCTCGGTGTCTTCATTCAGGAAGTGGCCAGCCTTGAGATTCTTTCTGCTCGGATGCTACAAACAAATTGCAGAGGAAGTCAAGTCAAACTTTCCCTTGCTTCTTTTGTTCTCCAACCAGCAATTCAGAAAGCAGAGCCGGTTTTTTCTTTTTGGATGCCTTTGAAAGATTGCTCTTAACTGGCAAGGCAGAAACCCTCATGGGTTTGATTTTTGTTGTTGTTGTTGTTGTTGTTGTTTTAAGCAAAGATCCTCCTAAACCCATTTTTTCAAAAAAGCAGAAATTTCCTAGAAGTTTTTTTTAAGGCTGGGTTGTGTGTGTGTGTGTGTGTGTGTGTGTGTGTGTGTGTTTTGAGCCTTTCCAACCCAATTGGTCCCTTAACGTCACACAGCTTTCTAATTGTTGTTCTTCCCTTTAGATTTAGATTTCAACCAGGAGAGCAATAATGAGCTTTGCATGGACAATGGCTAAATCTGAATGAGGCTTCTGGTGCCCTAATTCAGGGCCAAGGAAAGCTAACAGTCATGATTCAATAAAGGTGCCAGTCCACGGCAGGCATCAGACAGAAAGGAGACACCTTATCTGTTGAATCTACAGATACTACTTGAAAAATCACACATAATTAATCCCTTCTCTTAGCGGAGGCTATTTGAAGCTTTATCACCAGCTTGTATGTACGATTTCATCTCTGGCTTTCACTGATGGTTCCGAGAGGGGAGCATTTTCAAACCAGAGGCAGTTCATAATTTAGACATGCCTACCACCCCTGTTCTAGTTAGCTAATAAAAGAAGCTTTGCACTAAATAACTGAGGGGACACAGAATAGAGATACATAGCAAATATTTGCCAAGTGGCCCTGAAGTGGCTTCCCAGATGGCACGTTCTGGGGAATAAAGAAGATACGACAGCCCCATGGGTATCAATATGACATCTGATGGTCCTCCTGCGACCCTCTGTGTACAGGGGTGGGCAGTCAATGGGAATTCGTTTTACCATGGCAGTGCTCTCATATAGGCTAGAAAAAATATATACGCAGAAAGAGGGAGAGAGACATATCTCACGTAACCCAACCTGTGGCTCCCGTAAGGCTCTCCACTAAAGGAAGTTGTGATGATTGAAATTCATCACACCCTGTGAATTCTCCTGGGTCAGGAAACACTGGCATTGGCAGAATCTGAACTTAATAGTATTTGCAAAGTTACTCTTATGTCAGAACATGTTTGCCCAACCATGATCGTCTCCTCCCTCTTTATCTATAAACACATATACACTGTAGATATTTATAGACTACTAGGTATATGAAATCATTTATGCAAGTTGTAATTGACTGTGTAATTATTGAATAAACAGCGGATGAAAGGAAATGTGAGGTTCTGAAGCTTTAATTCGCGTTTTATCTTTTATTCTTTCAACTGCTTATTTACTTGTCTACATTCTCCTCTCTGCTGATTATTTTCTGGGCATGCATTTTCCCTTGGGCAACATCAGATGAGAACATCATTTCATTTGCATCGCAGGGGAGACGGAGAGACAAACAGAAAGCAGAGAGACAAACAGAAAATCAGAGGCAGCATCCTGCTTGGACACCTCCAAGGTATGTGGGTCATCGTTAGACGCTGTGAGCACCGTCACCATTCTTGAAGCTTTGATGTAGAAACATGTAAGACTTACAATGTACCTGAATCTCTATATAAAGCCAACAGACCTACCCTGTGTTGAGGCGACCGCTATTTATTTACAGAATTCAACTGCCTTCAACAAATTCTATCAAATCCCTACTGTGTGCCAGGTGCTAGGATACGAGGAGGACTTGTCATCAATGCTGGATTGCCCAGTGTGCAGACGAGACCCTCACTTACAAGTCCAGAAAGCATGGCTGAGAGAGAGCAGAATGTTCTGGGCACAAAGAACAGCAGGGAGGTTGTCCTGAGGCAACACCCAGTTTGGTGCGTCTGAGGGACTGAAAGGTGCCCACTGCTTCAGTGAAGCTGAAAGGGTAAGTATGTCTCTTACTCATTTGCCATAGGACAGGGGTTAGTCAACACCTTTTTTTGTAAATATTTTGGTCAATATTTAGTAAAATATTTATTTTATTTTATTTGTTTAGTAAAATATTTAGTAAATATGTTAGGCGTTACAGGCCTTGGGGTCTCTGTCGCAATTACTCAACTATGACGTTATAGTGCAAAAAAACATACACCATAAACAAATGTGTGTAGCTGCATTCCAATAAAACCATGCATGCGGGCATTGAAATTGGAATTTCGTTGGGACAGTTCTACAAATAGAAAGCAGGGACCCCATCACGACCCCGCCTTGCCCGCCATTGGAGACAACCAGACAATTCAGAAAAGTCATTTTTAATTTCAGCACACACATGCTTTTACCTCTCTGAAAAGCGCAACTTTATTTTTTATGCGCGTTCGATTTATTTTAACTTCCATTTGGGTACAGGTCCTGAGACAGTGGGGATTATTATTCAGAAAATGAGCCTCCCCGACTCCTGCTTTGGGTGGCATACACTTCCCTGCACCACGGACGTTGGACTCGGCCGCGTGACTTTGTTGGCTAATAGGCCGTTAGCGAGTGTGAGTCCGGCAGGCCTTGTGTGTTTGCATCGCAGCTCGTTGCAATGCATTCGCATTTCCAACATCGCCCCGAGGGGTAGTATATGCCCGTGTATCCAAGGAGGATGCACACCCCCGGAGCAGACTGCATGTGCCCCACTACTGCGAGCCCAGCCTGGAGCAGTCTCAATCATCTGAACACCTACCAACTTGCAGATGTTTGTGTGAGATTAAATAATTCCTGTTTTAAGCCAATGAGCTGGGGGATGATTTGTTACATGGCATCATTATGGCGATAGTTGACTGATGGAGGCCCCGTAGTACTTCTAGGTGTTAATCCGGCCACGGCCAGACCAGTACAGTTACTAAATTGCAGGGGGCGGGGGCGGGGGAAGCATATGTAATTTTAAAAGATCCTTCAAAAACTTGTCTTCCTGCTTTGACTTTGTTATGTAAATCAAAGTCAATTATAGCCTTTCAGGCACTAAATGAAATTTGATGGCCATAAGGCTTCAATGAAGCGGCATATGGTTAAAGAATAAAAGAGGTCTAAGGTACTCATTTATTTATCCAGCACTAGATAAAGCCTTCATCCACAAAGACTTTATCCAGAAAAATGGTTCGCTCATTAAAGAGACGCTCGTGGGTTCTTTTGTACGACACCTTGTAGTTACAGTGTTGAGTCAAGGGCTTACCCTAGGCCAAGCACGGTTCCTAGCGCTTTGCCTACATCAGCTTCTTTGACCCTCAAAATTTAATGTTGTAGTCACTGTTGATCATCTCCAACTGACAGATAAGAAAAGTGAGGGACCAAGAGGATAACGACTTATCCAAGCTCCATGACTTGTAAGTGACAGAGCTGGGGTTCAAACACAGGCTTTCTGATTTCAGAGCCCACCCACCTACCCCCCATGGTAAGACATATCTGGTGTTTGTTCACAGGGGACTTAATAAGAGGACAAACCAATCTTTACAAACCACGGCAGGACCGGGATGGAAACAAACAAAAACAACAACAAAACACACACACACACCAAATGGGGAAGTCTGGTTAAGAACAACAGAGAGGACCTGTTTTAGACAGGAGACCAGAGAAGGCTTCTCTAGTTAGGTGAAGTTGTCTGAGAGATGAAAATGATCACACACGAAAAAATGGCTGGGAGAGAGAAGAATGTTCTGGGGACAAACAACAGCAGGGAGGTTGTCCTGAGGCAGCACCCAGTTTGGTGCGTCTGAGGGACTGAAAGGTGCCCACTGCTTCAGTGAAGCTGAAAGGGGATGTCTCTTACTCATTTGCCATAGGACAGGGGCTAGTCAACACCTTTTTTTTGTAAAGCACCTAATAGTAAATATTTTAGGCGTTTTAGGCCTTGGGGTGTCTGTCGCAATGATTCAACTATGACATTATAGTGCAAAAAACCACACACCATAAACAAATGTGTGTGCTCCATTCCACTAAAACTGTATATGCGGGCATCGAAATTGGAATCTTATTGGGACAGTTCTACAAATAGTAAGCATGGACGTGAAGACACATAAGATTTTCATATTTAGTGCATTTCCAACATATCGGGTTGGAATAATTTTGGAATACTATGGAAATATTATGATATTTGATGCATCTCGACCTTGGAACTCTGGTGAGTTCTCTGTCAAAATAGAATATAGGTCATACCGGTAAGGACAAGAGATAATTTTGACTAAAAGTAATGACAAGCTGTTGGGGTCTTTTGTTAGGTTTATTTAGTTATTTTAGAGAGAGAGAGAGACAGAGGGACAGAGACAGCACACACAAGTGGGAGATGGGCAGAGAGAGAGAGGCAGACACAGTATCCGAAGCAGGCTCCAGGCTCCGAGTTTCAGCACTGAGCCTGACGTGGGGCTCGAACCCTTGAACCGAGGTATGACCTGAGCCAAAGTCAGATGCTTAACCAACGGAGCCATCCAAGTGCCCCAAGCTGTTGTGGTTTTTTTTAATCACTGTGTTAGGATTCTCCAGCAAAAACAGAAACAGAATATATATGTGTAGGGAGAGAGTTAGATTGTCTCACAATTTGCCGTTTGCAGGCTGGGCATCTAGGAGAGCTGGGGTCATTGAGCCTGAGCTCAAAGGCCTGAGCCCCAGAAGCACTGGGGGCAGGAAAAGATTGATGTCCCAGTCATGCCATCAGACAGGAAGAGCCAAATTCTGCCTTCCTCTGCCTTTTTGTTCCATGCAGGCCTTCCACGGATTAGAAGAATAGACGATGCCCAGCCACACTGGGGAGGGCAAAGTGCTTTACTGGGTCTCAGGATTCAGATGCTAATTTCATCTGGAAAGAGCCTCCCCGACATACCCAGAAATAAAGTTTAACCAAATATCTGGGTACCCCAGGATCCAGTCAAGTTGACACAAAAAATTGACCGTTACAATCATCTAATTAACATAGAGGAGTAAATGATACCATCACCCAGAAAAAAAAAAAAACCAAGAAGATCACGTTCTTGCTAAAATGCCACACTGACAGAAGTAACATAAAATGCATGTTTCTAAACTTTACAAACTGGGTAGTGGGTATCATCATTGAGGAGTATTTAGGATTCATCACTGCCCAAGAAAACTTGAACTGCCCTGAAGTCTTCGAGAGGTCCTATGTGAAAGAAAATTGACAAACGTTTCCCCATATTTGACAATAATCATCCTAAAAATTTACATCACCTAACCAGTGATGCATAGTGAAGCCAAAAGAAACTTTCCACATTGACAATAATAAAAATATTTTTTCACCTAAAAAAAATTGCAATCTGTAGTAGTATTTTCTTCTTTCATTCAAATTAAAGAGTAACTTTTATTATTTTTTTAAGTTTATTTATTGAGAGAGAGAGAGAGGGAGATGCCCAAGCAGGCTCCATGCTGACATAAGAGAGCCGGACGCAGGGCTCGAATTCATGAACCATGAGAGCCAAACTGGGATGCTTAACCAACTGAGCCACATAGGCGCCCCGTAAGTGTTAACTTTTATAACTAATTTTGTATTCTTTATTTTTATTTTTTTTAAACGTTTATTCATTTTTGAGACAGAGACAGAGCATGAATGGGGGAAGGTCAGAGAGAGAGGGAGACACAGAATCTGAAACAGGCTCCAGGCTCCGAGCTGTCAGCACAGGGCCCGACGCGGGGCTCGAACTCATGGACCGCGAGATCGTGACCTGAGCCGAAGTCGGATGCCCAACCGACTGAGCCACCCAGGTTCCCCTGTATTCTTTTTATCAAGGAAAGCTTCCAAACTTCAAGGTTGGCAAAGCTGGAAGCAGCCCTGATTAAACACCTACCGTACAAGCCAAGCACAGCTCGATGCTAGAACAGAACAGACGATGTGTCCGCAGATTCATTGACGCGCTCCTGCTCCAAAAGGCACAAGGCATTTGCTTTCCCTTGGAATGTAGGCTGGACCTGATAACTTGTTTCTGGCGAGTGGCATATTGTGCCAGTGGTGACTCTGGGTGACACTGAAGACCGGTCGGGAAATACTGCCATTTCCCCCGCGCTCCTTCCTTCTGGAAGCCGGTGGCCATGTCATCAGAACACTCCAGCAGCACATGGAAAGGAGCGGAGCCTTCCAGCCAACCGCCATGCGAGGGTGCGATCTTCGAAAGAGATCCTCCAACTTTACCCAGTCGAGCCTTCGGGATGGTGGCAGCTTCGGCCAACGTCTTGACCGCTCGTGAGAGGCCGTGGGCGAGAGCCATCCGTTCAAACTGCTCTCGGGGATTCCTGACCCCAGAAACCGCGTGCGATGAGAGATGCTTGTGATGTGAAGTTGCCACAGTTGGGGGGCAACCCGTTACCCAGCGAGCAATAAAGAATACGCTGACACAAGTCTTGGCTTTAGGACTCTCACCTTCTGACGTTTGTTTAATAGGCGTGGAATAAATGTGTTTTTGAGAAAGTGATGAAGAACAGGAAGCCAAAGAAATGTAGCAAATTATCATTAACTGTTCATTCGCTTATCAGATATTTACTGAGCAGTACCATATGTTTATCTATGTTCCAGGCATCAAGCTAGAATAATAAGCGGGAAAGACATAACAGCGCCCCCCGTCATGGAGCTTCCAGTCTGGAAGAAGAAGAAAGTTTTTGTCCTGTGTCTGATGCCTACTCACCGCAGAACCCTGAAGTCAAGTTTCCCTGTCCCAGATAATATGCATTATCTCATCGAATCCTCAAGATAGCCCCCTTCCTCTCACCCACACCCACCCTGCAGCCCTCCCCAGGCTCCCTTGCAACTTGGCAACGTGACACAATTCAGACCAGCGACGCACAGGCAGGAGATCGCTGAGCAGATCCGCTGTCTTCGGAAGGACGCGCTGTCTGGAGAGGGCTGCGAGTTATCCATCCTGCGAATGTCAGGAAGGGCCGAGGGAGCAGCTGAGCTCTGACATTCTTACGCCATCGAAACAGAATAGTAACTGCCTGCCTTTTAAGGGAGAGAAAAAAAATAACCTGTTCGTTGAGGTCTCTGTTGGGTTATCGTTGGCAGTTGCTACTTACGGCTAAGAGCGTTCCCGACCGACTTAATGAAGTCGGAGGAGAGAGCCAAGGTCACAAAGCCAATGAATGGAGCAAATCAGAAATCAAAACCGCATCTTCTGGACCCCCAGATCTGTATCTTAATCATGATGCTATGTTGTCCTCATGTTTCCACAAGTAAGAAGAAGAAAACAAAGCAAAACAAAAAACAGGATAGAAAACGTATTTGTCTGGTTTCCCTGATTGTATCCAAACAGTGTAACAAGCTATTTGATATGGCCTCAAACCACGGGACATTACATCTACATTCCAATTTTAACAAAGACTTAATTGCAAATTTGGGGGAGGTGGTGAAAAGGACTAAGGAATTCCTTAATGTTGATGATGTTGTTGGAAACCTGTTAACCTTGAATACATCTTTGAGAGGAGTTGAAACAGATAGACCCCATTCCTTGAGGGTCCCTGCAGCCTTATATTTACGGGGCACTTACCGTGGGCCTCATGATTTGGTTCCGCGGTCTCACCTAGTCCCTCTGTCACCCAGCAAGCTGAGCCCATACACCCCATTTCACAGCTCAGAGAGGTTCAGTAGCTTGGGCAGGGTGATTCAGCTCGCGCTTAGGCTTAGGACTGAACTCTGGTCTGCCAGTCCAGAGCTGGACTAGAGAGGGAGTAGCAAACTGTATCCACATGTGATGGTAGGATAAGTGATCCTGGATATGGCAGCAACTATGACAGTCTATACAGGAAGGAATAAAATTCGGGAGGCGCCTGGGTGGCTGAGTCGGGTGAGCATCCGACTTCGGCTCAGGTCATGATCTCACGGTCGTGAGTTCGAGCCCCGCATGGGGCTCTGTGCTGATGGCTCGGAGCCTGGAGCCTGCTTCCGATTCTGTCTCTCTCTCTCTCTCTCTCTGCCCCTCCCCTGCTCGTGCTCTCTCAAAAATGAATAAAAACATTTAAAAAAAAAGCAAAGACTAAGGTTTGGCAAATGTTCTGGTGGAGGATCAGAGTGGAATAAACACAGGTCGGTTCCTGCTCCTGCCCCACCTGGCTGTGACGTTAGGTGAATCTCTCCGTCTCTCGGAGCCTTTTTCTTCTGCTGTAAAATTAATGTCATACTGACACCGGCCTCGCAGTGGTTCTGAGGACTCAGGGGGGCAGAGCCACTGGACTCCAGGCAGGTGGTGCAGCCAGTCCTCAAAAAATATTAACGGTTAGCATCTTGGTTACCGTTCCACGCTTCATCTACGGGGAAGAGAGCGCTTCTTTGTGTTGAGCTCGGTATGTCTCCGCAACAATTGTGTACATTCTTCGTGCTGGAAGAAGAAACGGAGTCATCCAGAGAGCGAATAATCCCTGCGAAAGCAATGTCCCGAATTTTGGCAAAAGCAATCTGCCGGTCTTCCTTACCCGTGGCAATACTACAAACGCAAAGAGAGAACAGTCAGGGCAGTGGGGGGTGGGGGGAGGAACAGGAGGGTCTTGCTGCCCTGGCTTGCAGCCTCCTCTTGCCCCCCTCACCCTACCCCTGCCACTTCATTCTCTCTTGTCCTCATCGACCTGGTTGTCCCTTCTCAGTCTTTTTCTCCGGGTACACCAGTACTTGTTCTGTTTTAAGATGGATCCCCGACCT